TATTTCTGTTGGCGCACCGAATTGAAGGTGAACTGATGAGGAAGCCGAGCAGCCGGTACACGGCTGGGGAAGGTGGAAAGAGTATGTGACCGAGCTTTGTGTCGCTGCCTAGAAGGACGGGTGGTGCAGACTGCTAGTACGAGCCATAGAACAGCGGAGCCTCTGCAAGACCATTAGTCAACACCTATACAAGTCTTAGCTTGTCTTCTCACCACTGCATAGGACGAGGATAGATCATTAAGGCGGAACCTAGATTACACCGCACCAGCTGCAGACACCGTCACCCTTGCCTTCACCATCACCTTCACCGTCAACTTCAGCACACTCTCACCCTTGCTCTCACCTTGTGACTCACTGCGACAGCCAAGGCATAGCTATAGCTAACTCACTGTTGTTTTTTCTCTGTGACTTTCAATATAGGTTCAACATATAGTATTTTTTTTTCCAAACGCCTAATTGCCAAGCTCGTCATGCTGGCGATATTCTTTTTACAAAGTGCTGAACATAACCTACATATTATAGGAATAATACTATGTTATTCAACACGCAGCACCCTAGGACCCTTCCTCCTAGTAGACCGCTTCTTCTTATGGCCCTTGTCAAACGAAACAGCGCTTTGGTGGTTACGCCCGAAGTTATCAAGGTCTTTGACCTTGTAAATTCTAATGATCCAATTCTCGCTCGTAAACGCCTCCTCAATAGTGCTGAGCTCAGGGCCCTCAGCAGGCAAGCGCGAGTTACGGACGCGGTCCTGTGCTTGTCCCGGCGGGAAAAGTGAACCGTAATTGTAGTAGGACATTTTGTACCTGAAAGCTGTTAGCAAAACTGCACCGCAATGAGTGCCTGTACAACTTACATTAGGCTATCCTTCATCGTCTGCGTGGCCTGGTCATCTACACGGTATTCACCACGCTGAGTGAAGAAGTTGCGCTCCTTGACCTCGTCAGGCCAGATACCTTCGGCGATTCGGACCATCCAAAGGAATTTGTTGATGTCATCTCCAGAGTAGCCCAAGAGACCACCGAAGACCACGAGAACGTAATCGACTTCGTGCTGGCGCATGATGGGGTAGCTAACCTCTTCCTTGGAACTCATAGCCTTTCCGACGGTAGCAATGTGCGTATTATTCCAGGTGTTATTATCAACGAGCGTTGGGCGGTCAGCCATACCGCCGATTTGGTATCCATAGTCCCACCAGGCCATGACCTTGGCGTTCTGAGGAGTGTTTTGCCTCAGCCAGTAGTAAGCCTCGCGGTAGTCGTCGATGATATGCTGGCTGCCGTCGGGGAGTCTGGAAGCAAGCACCACGGAAGGCGAAGAGTACGCATTTGAGGTGACCCAGGTGCAGTGAAGAACAAAAAGCATCAGATAGACGAGAGACGCCCCGACAACGGCAAGCTTGGAAGCGTACGAGTAGATACCGACTTTGGGGTTGCGCATCGAGCGCAGTCCACTACCAGCAGTAGCCTTTGTGGTGGTGTCTGCAGCTCCATCTTCCTTGATCATAGGGAGTGTGGGTGTCTTGGCTTCTAGATAGGTGTCAAGGATTTCCGAGAAAGCAATAGCTGAAGCGACACAAACAATGGGCGTCAGAGTGAGCATGAGACGAACCATGACGCCGGCGAAGTAACTTGCCAGGACAGCATAGATGACAATAAAGACCTGCTCGTCGGTCAATGTCCGGAAGCAGAGGTAGACACCAGTGGGGAAGAGCCAAATCATCATGTTGAGATCGAAGAAGAAAGCAGGCCATGCGGTGGGCTGATGTTCGGACACCGAGGCAATGATGGGTATGTGAATTTTTGCGTATCCAGTGTCCCAAAGCGAGTAGAATCGGCCATTCCAGGGTGCGATGACTCCAGTGACGGTCAACAGAACCAGACCGCCAAGCGAGATGACGAAGATGGCCAAGACGAGGGCGCGCAGCAACGTCTGGAACTGCTTGCTAGGGATCTGAGCACGCAACCAGTCGACGAAAGCGACCAGCTGCAGCAGACCGAAGACACCGAGGGACGACATGTGCTCACTGCTGCGAATGGGCAAGAAACCGACAAAGGGAATCTGCATGCTCGCAAGCGTGCCGAGCGCGTACCACGACGTATAGCTGACATAGAGTCTTGGGCTGTAGCGACCCATGCAGATGAGAACAAAGGCATGCAACGGCAGCAGGTTCGTGATGAAGACATAGCCTCCCCACGCCGAGACCATGTAACCGTAGAAGAGGGCGGTGCAAGCACCCCAGAACATGGACCCCTCCTTGACGGCCTTGATCCACAGGTAGAAGGTGAAGACAAGCAAGAAGATGGCAATGGCCTCGTTGTCGTAGCTACCGGCCACGGAGCGAGAAATATAGCCGGGAGTGATGCCCATGAAGGCCGCAGCAAGTAGACCGGCCGAGGGCGACGTGACCATTTCAGACGTGAGGAGATACGTGGCGAGCGCAGTGAGGCCAGAAAAGGCGGGCGCGAGCAGGACGCAGATGTTGCGTATATCGACAGGCAGGCTGATGGCGCGGAGGAAGTGGTAAATGACGCCGCTCGTCACCATGAGGCCAGGGTAGAGGGTACCGCCCGTAACGCGTCCGAGGGGATGCCATGTTCCTGCCGGGCACAAGTCAGTGAGTCAATGGCAGACTTTAAGTAACCAGACGAAGTCTTTCAGTGTGGTGATTGTCCCCATGAAGACATTGAGATAGGGAAGAAGGGGAAGAAAGGTTGCATACGGTCATCGAACCAGTCCCAGAAACTGTAGAAGCCATTCTGGACGAGATATTTGGTTGCACGGAAATTGAACCATGGGTCGACTACACGCGCGCATTGATTATTGAATGACTACAGCAGACGATGTACGTTTGCCTATTCTTGTCTGGTGGTAGTAGTGGGTAGTACTAACACTCGTGGATTATCGACTCGAAGCGGATGACGGAGAACAGACGACTGCTCACTGCGGCGCCCGCGATCAGACACAGGATGATGACGCGCAGCAAGCCCCGCGTGTTTCGGCCAGTGGCTTGCTTCAAGAACTGCCCTTCCTCTGCAGCGGCAGCCATGATGAATGAGCAAAGAGAAAAAAAAAAGGGAAGAGGAAGAAACAGAGGTGGTGTGGTGAGAAAGGAGCGTCGTATCTAGGCTCGCGACTTCGAGCTAACTATGATTTGGGGGGACCGGCGACCGACCATGAGCACACGTTGCGTTGCGGGACTGAAACTCGGCGCTTCGTTTCTCCTCCTACCCCCGTACTGGTACGGTATGGTACGC